TTAAGACGTGTTTGTATTTCTTAAGTATATACTTTCTTTATATATTTAATTTAGTTTAATTTTTTTTTTAAAAAAATTAATGAGTTGCATATAGTTGTCCTTACTTGTCCAGTTGTCCTTTGCTTATTCACATCCACGAAGCTAAGCCTCGACAAAAATAGACATGTGCGCAGTCAAAGTGTCACGTGCGCCGTCAATTTTGTACATAGTTGTACCCAATTGTCCAGTTGTCCAAAATTCTTCATAGTTGTCCTTCGGCGATTTTAGCATTTTTCCAGTTGTCCCTTGATATAAATTATTATTTTGTAGTTGTCCACATGATTTTTGACTACTATAGTCCATTTACAACATTTTCATACTACAATTTATGCAAAATCATAATTTTGCATCTTTTCCACCATAAAATTGTTAACATTATCAAAGTCTTCCTTGTATCATAAAAGGTGTTTGATGTCAAACCAATAATATGTATTAGAAAAATGATTATTTCATATTATCCATCTTTTTAATTCTATTCCTTATAGTTTTTAACCTTTTTGCATTTTTAACTGAATGCTTTCTTTTGATTTTTATAATTTTATTATTATTATTTTCTAATTAAAGAATTACATATAGTTGTACAAGTGTCCAGTTGTACCTTGTTAATTTCTATCCTGAAAGCATTCTCAGCCAAAAATGAAATCCTCTATACTAGATTGACTTTCCTAAGTGTACAGATGTCTGTCAAAGAAACATGTGCACCTATGTATATAGTCAATTTTTGTACATAGTTGTACCTAATTGTCCAGTTGTCTGAAAATTTAATAGTTGTTCTTTTGAGATTTTAGCGTTTACATTGATTTTCAACTATTAATTTTCAGTTAAGAGGTTTTCATATTACAAATTATGTAAAATCATATATTTTGTCTCTTTTGTTTCATAACATGATTAACAATATAATATAGATGAAATAAGTTATATGCTCTAAATATGAGATAGTAAATGATATAACATAGATAAAATTTCTTGAAATCCATTGAAATGTTTGTGTGGTTGATGCTCATTATCTCTTGAAAATAGAATAAAAGAATTCTCAATTAGCAATTATTCAAATTGTTTTAGTTATACATATTTTTACTAGTTGTTATCTATCTCATAGTTGTACCATTTGTACTAGTTGTCTTCTATTTCTTAGTTGTATCATTTGTACCAGTTGTCTTTTATCTCTTAGTTGTACCATTTGTACTAGTTGTCATTTTCTGCAGATTTGGTGATGAACTCGGATTCTAATTCTAATCTACCTAAAAATCACAGAGATTCAACAACTAAACTCCATAAATTACCAATGCAAAGACCTAATAATCACATAAAACTTGGTTACCAATCCAATTTGCATACTGAAACAAATAATTTTCACAAATCCAATACCTAAATTGTGAAATCCCTAAATCCCTAAATAAGAACAAATCACCCAGATTTAAAGCTTCAACAATGGTAGAGGAGAAAGGAGATAAGAACAATAAATTAATTGCAGAGGAAGAGGAAAAGGAGACGAAGACAAGGATTCGACGAAAAAGATGAATTTAGCTGGTTTTCAGATTCATTGACAACAAACTATCGGGAAACAAAATGAGCTCAAGAAAAAAAACCAGAAATTTTAAAAATTAATTATTAGTGTCAATTAAAATTATTTAAACAATAACAAATTTGGATAATTTCACAAATGTCACAAGAATCTTTCATTAAGGGTAAAATTGGGAATATACATAGTTTATGGCATCCAGACTCAGTTATGGCACCTAAGATTTTTCTTTTCCAAATTATGGCATTTTGGCCATTGATTCATTTCCTTCTCTTGAGATCCATTGAAACTTAATGTCTTCAAACTTTTTACTCCAATGCCATAGTTCTCTTATCCAATTGAAAACACCAAAAATTCAGCGATTCTCTTGTAAGAAAACTAACTAGATTATTGCAATCACCTTCAAAAATAACCTTCTTGAATACTTTAATCCAACAATTCTGCATAGCAATGATTGATGATGTTGTTTAATTATATATACTCCTTGATGGCTTGATCAGTCCTAATTATCCAACCAGCTTTGGACCTTCTTCTATGTGTGACAGAAGATCCATCATACTTGCACTTGAACCATTCTTTCATCGGTGTTCTCCATGTATTATGTGTTTTTTTTTTGCCAAATTATAAATATTTCATTGAAAATAAAGTTTAAGTGTTACAAATTGTTAAAAACAATTGATCAACCTAAAAGATTAGTCTCATGGCAAAAAAAGAGAGAAAACATGGAAGCAAATTCAATCGGTACTGAATCGACACTAAAGCTATGAAGCAACAAGTGTCAAGTAGCGATAAAGTGCTTGAACGCCCGAGGGAAAGATGAGACCAAGTCAAGATCAAAAGGAGATCCCAAAAGAAAGGACCGCGAACCGCCTATTTCGCAAATCGGAAGCTGTTTCATTCGGTAACACGAAAAAGAGCCATTCCTCTACGGAGTCAGAGGAGGCCCGAACGAAGACTGTCCTCAATGTCTATGGCTCGACGGTCAACCAACAAACAAAGATCCGGCACTAAGACGAGACTACACTAACTATCAAGCGAAGACTAGCAAGTTCACGCTACCAAGATACTTCCCCGATGTCACTAGCACTAAACAAACAACTTCACAGCTCAACAGCCTTACTACCTTCTCCGAAAACAAGACAAACAAGACACAAAACCGAACTTTAAGAAACCTCAATCCAACACCACCAAAGAAACAAACATGCCAACGAGAGAAACAAGCAAACAACCCATCAACGACAAAATAAGGAGCCACCAGAGACGAAACAAGATGAAATCTGAACAAACGCCACACTAAAGCGGCGAGCCTCCAATGCTCAGAACCACCAAGAAGCCACCGCCTTGAAAATGTCACCGATGCGGACTAACCTAAAGGTCACGCTAAAGGATGCCACAGCTCCGGAAAGCCCAAGGCGATGAGAGAAAACCAGATCTGAGAACACGCCGGGATCCGTCCTCAGAGATCCCACACCACGCGCCACCAACTGCCTAACCACACCACCGTGAGAGACACGGCGGACACACTTAGATCAAAGATCCAACACACTGTGCGCCACCGGATTTTCAACCGGAGGACTAATCGAGAGATTTGACAAGCGCCACACTCCTCTCTCGAGCCTCCACGCAGGACCACCGGAGCCCAGCCCACCGCAACACCTAGGCATTTCTAAACTAGAGAGGACAGAGGCCTCTCCGGCGGCGGCGAGGAGCGCCAACCACCGGAGAGGCAGAGATTAAGAAGTAGATGAAGACTCCTGAGCAGCAGCGGTGGTGAGTATGGGGAAGAAAGAGGAGACGAGCAGAAACTACCGGCCGGGGGAATAGAAAGATGAAAGGAGATCGATAAAAAAAATTTGATGGAGGCCATGTATTACGTGTTAACGCATGTCGTCGTGACGTACGTTGCTGAGTAGTGATCACAGCCTTATCAAAGAATTGTTGTGAGTCTAGCATCATTCTTTGCTATTACAACCGTTGTTCTTCAAGGGACGTGTTTCTTTTGGTAGAGTGGAATATTTTTACTCTTCCATAAATCATAATCTCCACATAATCCTTGTAGTTGATAAACCTTTGTTGGCATTAGATCCTCTTTTTGGTTGTTAGGCAAACTCATCTTTGTTATGCAAATTCATCTATATTTATATTTTGCAATTTAATCCAAAAATGATTAGGTAGAACTTGTATGAGATTAACCACATAATTCGCATTTCAAACCGAACTTAGGCCATGATTTAGGTACTTTTGCTTTAATCATAAACGTCCTCTTTGATAGTGGTCAATTATAAAATAAAAACATCAATTTTTTCTTCACATATATTTGTACTCGTCTTTTTCTCTCTTTTGTCATTTTCTTTAGCAAAATTTGAACACGAGATGTTTGCCGTAAAAAAAAACACCAGATATTTGTTTTTCCTCATTTCTCCACATACAATGAATTAAAAAATCATTTTGAAAACTAAAGCCATCAGTAGATCCCCACGTTGATATAATTAAGATCTACCGACAGTTTGATATATAATTGTCGTAATCAAAGGTATTCGACAAAATGACCCACATCGATTCTGACACGTGGCGAAAATCTAATTGAGGTTACTGACATCAGCATACCGGAAGCATAGAGACAGTTGCTTGCTCCTAAAAGTTTTAACTTCCTCAACTATAAAATTAATTAACTGAAAAACATTTTTAGTTCTTTTTGTTTTACTTTGAAAAAATTCACACAAATTTAAAGTGAAACAATATGTAAAATATAAATGATCACAAAAATTCAAAAGTTAATTAATATTTTATCAAAAATAAAAACATAAGATTTTTACAAACTGTAATTTTTTGAATATTTTTTTCATGGAACTAAATGAATATATAGTTTTTAGAAAGTCATTTTTGTCATCTAAATGATTATCTATTACAAATTACGAAAATAATTTCATCAACAATTTTACATGTTTATAAAGATCTACCACAAACGGTTATATCTATATTCACAATAAATAATTTTACCTTAAACACTACACCAAACCAAACTAGTTTCCACCAAGATATTCACTAAATTTGGGATATTTGATCTGCTTCAAAATTCTAAATTATAGTCTTTATAATTTTTCCTTTAGTATTTATGTTAGTCCACAATTTTACTGTTATTCAAATTCTTAGAATTGGATCTAAGCAAATTACCTATCAATCAAATATTAAGAATATTTTATCTTGTCCTATTAGAAAAGGGGACGAAATTTCTTTATTGGAACTCCACAAAGTTCTTTCACTATTTTAATTCAATATTGATATAATGTTTGGAGTTAATAAGATTATAACATAGAAAATATGCACGGCTGATATTTTTCATTTTCGTTAAAAAGTTTTTAATGAGACCAAATTATAAAATTAAAAATACAGCCATCTCACCGTTTATTTAATTGAAGCTATTGCTTGTAACGTCAGTTTTTGGGAGTTGGGTTTGTTCTACAGTCTCTCTCTCCTCTCTCTTCTCTCGTCTCTCTCTCCTCTCTCTTCTCTCGTCTCTCTCTTCACAAGCTCAAATGGCCGGCGTGAGATGGAGAGAGTGGTGGAACACGATGGCGTTCCCCACGCGGCGAATCTGGAATCGTTTCACCGTTCGCGTCGGATTCCGTCATAGCGGTAAGCTCCGATCCTACACCGTAAATTCTCCGGCGGCTTGTTGGACCTTCTTTGATATTGTTTTCATCGCTTTAAGGGGGAATCATAACGAAAATGAACTCCTCTGATATTTTTCATCAGAGTGAGATCAAGATTCATCAATTTTCTCATCTATGGAAACTGTCGGTGGAAGATTTTTTGCTAAAGAGATTCTTTGAGTTATCAAAAAACTTTACAAGCTAAACCTGGTTTGGATTGGAATATAGATCTTAAAGTGAATCGTGTGGTGTTTTGTATCAGATTAAATTTCAAGATTTTTTTTTTTTTTTTTTAGAAGTTGTTTAAACCAAATACTGTATACTCAAACTATCGTAATTACCCGAACTACCCGATACTTTTTACCAGAACTATTTAAAATATCCGCAAAAAACTAAATTCTTGGTTATAATTTTCATTTTGAATAATTTGGTTCTTTCAAAATCTAAATATACATAATATTTTGTGAATATAATTGTATTTTGAGTATTTCTGGTATTCATTTATCCATTGTAGCCTTTTTAGCCACGGTAGTCATATTAAATGACAAAAATACTCTGATTTTTGTATAAATTTGGTGATTTGTCTGAGTTTCGACAAGGTTTAGGATTCACCTAGGCTATCAAATAAGTAAATAATAAAAAAAAAATTTCTCTTCTTGTTCTTGAACAAATATTGAGTAATGGTCTTTGTGTGTTGCAGGACTCTTGAGGCTACAGAACGACGTGAGTTCTTGCGAGTACGAAGACATACACATCATGTGGAATCTGTTGCACAAGAACGAAATTCAGACACCAACACCAACACGTGGCGCTCGAATCCAACAACGGATCCAACAAAGGAAGAAAGCTTGTTGGAATCTACTGATCGGTTCATATCTTTGCCAAAGATTCTGATTATTATATATATATAAAAAAAATATAACCCAAAAACATTCCAAAACCATCGTTGTAACTGAGAGAGCCTTGACGGGTCCCCTGCAAATGTGGTGAGGTAATTGACATATTTGGCGAATAAGAAAATCCGAGGCTGCACAGTTTTAGCTGCTGTTATGTTCCATATCATGCCTCTATATATATTATATGAGTATTATTATCACTTGAGTGTTGTATATATGAAACAATTGTTTTAAGATAGTTTGGATACATCTATGTTCATCTATATGGTTTTCTGGTTTTGCCATTCACTAAAAAAAACAGCAAACTTGACTTAGTTCAAATTCTTTGAAATATTCTTTCAATGGTTTTTGTTCCGCTTTACGAAAATTGCTCTTGGACCCTAGACGCCCACAAATATTTTGAGAAAGGTTTATGTTAGATATCATACCTAAAACCGGGGAAATTACCCAACCAAAACTGGGGAAATTACCCAACTAAAACAAACCAAATTCCCCAAAATTTCTGTACCTAATTACCAGAACAAAACCTGAGTTTTATGAAACAGAATTGGTATTCATTATAAAGAAATCTTTTTAATTAAATAGAATATTTTTAATATATATAGAAAATACATTTAAATATACCAAAATAATATTGTACTACTTAAAATATTTATTAGTTCTTGCTTAATTAACGAAGGATCGATCAATTACTTGAAAATATAGCTAAGAAATTTAGGTAACTAGTCTCCATGTAAAAGTTTTTCTACTACATGGCTTATAATATTAATATCATAAAACTGGATTTTCTTCATCTCATTCGCTTTGATATAAGTGTCGTTTTAAATTTAATTTTTTTTGGTTCAAAATAGAAACTAATTTTGTTTGTTTTAAAAGAAAATCTCGTCTTTAAAACTTAGTGCAATTTCTTGTCACATATACCTAATTTAAACAGAGTCAAAATTAATTAAACAAAATATAAATTTAAAAGTCTCTTATTATAAAGAAACAATAACATTTATATTGAAATAAATGGAGGATAAAGTATACATTCTTGAGGATAATGATAAATTAATTAAAAAATTTAAATCAAAGGTTTTTTCTAGGAAAAGGAATAATAGTGGTATCCAAATTGGAATCTTTAATATTTCTCTTTGTAGGAAAAAAAAGACACCTTTATTCCATTAAACAGATGAGATTTCCAATGTTGTTGTGGCCAATGAAATTTTTCATTATTAAAAAAAAAAAATTTCAACAAACGAATCCATATAGAAAGATGAAATGTTAGAATCAATTGGTTAGATACTGATGTCCAAATAAAGTTAACGTTTACTCTGTGTTTGTTGCCATATATGTGTCGGCTACTTCTGGTCTTTATAAGAGTAGTAATCACTAATCAACAAGTATTGTGTGATGATGTGATTGCTTTTTCTCCTTTTTATGGGTAGACATTTCACCTAACGATTAATGACGATTCATTTTTTGTTTAAGTGTAACTAACTAATTTTGGCTTTTCTATAAAAGTCAATTATATATATATATATATATATATATCTTTTCGTGTGATTCTCTTATAATTTTATTCGTATCAAACTTTAAATTGTGGTCAATTTCAGTTTGAGTATTTTTTTTTTTTGTTAAAGAATTTCAGTTTGAGTTCTGAAAGAAGTATCGATATTCTACGTCAGTTTAAAGTAGAGATCATGGAGTTTCTGGTTTCTCTTTACCAAATAGAATAGACCTCGGGATTTCCACATGACTGCGAGTGGCTCTATAATATTTAATGTACCCTCACAAGAAAGCTGTTATATAATCTCTATATTATTATTTGAGTAAAAATTTATAAAAATAAAATTTAATTTATAAAATATTACAGAGTATTTTACAAAAAAAAAATTGTAAAATATTGTATAACTAAATCTTAGATATTAATTGAATAGACCATAGAAAATTTTATAAACCAAATTTGCAGATCTTAAATAATAATAATTTGGACTAAAATATATTTTAGAAAAAAATTTCTAATGCATATTTGGGAAGAAAATATACGAGAGAATATAATTATTATTATGTGAATATGAGAAAAAAAATTAAATCTACGAGGAAATACATATATGAAAAAAAATCTACGAGACAATATAATTATTATTATGTGAATATTAACAAAAAAAAATCTAATCTACGAGAGAATGCATATATGAACAAAAGAATCATACAATATGGTAACGCTCCAAAAAAGACTAAACTACAGATAATTATACGGGGTAATCTACGAAATCTATGAAGAGAAAGAAGAATGCTTCAAATACACGAGTTGGAAGAAATCCACCATAATGCCTACAAAAATTCCAAGATATATAAGGAGAAGACGAAGGCGTATCACGACAAAATGATCATACATCGGTCTTTTGCTCCAAATGACAGGGTTCTTCTTTTCAATTCTCGCCTTAAGTTTTTTCCAGGAAAGTTACGATCAAGATAGTATGGACCTGTAACAGTAAAGGAAGTCAAACTGTATAGAGCACACATTCTTTGGGGTAAGAAGAGAGATACATTTGTGCGAGGCAACCATACCTCACAGAAGAAGAAGGAAGAGAATAAATGCTCTTGGCAGATCCACTAGGCTAAACCATCATCAAAGTCAAGCTAATGACTTTAAGCAAGTGTTTAGTGGGAGGCAACCCACTTGGTATTTTACATATCCCCTTTGATTTGCATTTTTTATTTTTGCTGCTTTGTTTTTTGTCTTCTGTTATTTCAGGTTTTTAAGCGAAGAACGAACAAAAGGTGAACAAAAATCACGGACCAGAAATCACATCAGGAGCCGCGGAATATAGCCAGGTAAGTACACCTAAACATGCCAAATTTCAATCCATCATTATTCATGTCCTCTCAAAGATTTCTCACACTGGGGGCAGTGTGATTTAAGTCTGGAGGAGGATGTTCATCATTTATTAACGAAATTTGGTTTGTTTTGAGTTTGTGTTTCATAAAAAGTTTTCAACAGGTTTTCAAAACAGGAACGCCTAAAACAAAACCATGTGCTTCTAGACTTTACATGCTAGTTCTTTTTGTGGATAGTACTAGACTAGGCGGTAGCTAGAGTACTTGCACTACGAACTCTCACCAGAAGATTTCTATTCATGGAGATATTTTCTACCAGGATACACTAACTCATTTTACTTGAACTTAATCTTGACATCTAATCTTCTCATCATTGGTTTTAGCAGGCATCATGATATACATCTAGGACATCTTCACCTTATTGTTACCACTCTTTGTTGTCCTAGATGGCCAGTTCATCTTTAACTGGTACCACACCCTTTACCCAAACCTTTATGTTCAAACTTCATGCACTCTCTCTTTTGTTTGTATCGACAGATATGTGCAAAAACGCCGTAGAGGAAGGAACAACATAGTTTCAGTCACTCAAGAGAAAAATTGAAGGAATTTGGGAAAGTGAAGTATCAAGAATCTATCAAAGTTTAATGGTGCCTCAAAAAGCTTGAACTCAAAGGTAATTTTCGTGCCTCCTAAGACCATCCGCAACGCTGAAACGTTAAATAGGTTTCTTCTTGATTTTTTTATTATTAAATTTGAAGAATATAAAAAAGAGAAAGAAAGATAGAGAAATTGGTGAGAGAAGAAAGAAGAAAGAGAAAGGAAGAATTTGTTTTCTGACTAATTAAAAACTGACATGTGGCAGAAGAAACGTTTCTAAATGTCCCTAAATAAGAAACGTTTCTGTATTTTACAAAATCCACTTCAATTTTTATATTAATAAATTTCTGTTAAAGATGCTTAAGAGATGTGCGTGGAGGATGCTCTAAGACTCTACATTCAAAGGCATTTTCCTTTTTTTCAAAAAAAAAAAAAAATAAAAGAGTGAAAAGAAAGGAAAACAGAAAGCCTAAAAGAGTCTAGGATGGCCGAAATCATTTGAAGCAAATGCTACAAGTATTCATCTGTGAGTATTAGTTTTAAAACCTGGATAAAAATCTAAGTCTGGGGGAGTGATGGAGAGGCCTTGAAGGAAGGAGATCAGAAACCTTAAGGCAAGAGGAATATGACTGGAAAATATTGATATCAACAGCTTCATCTCCTCTTGCTGTTTTGCATAATGTCTTGTCTCTCCAAGAAAAGGTAACCCTAAACACTAAGAACTTCACCCCTAGAAAGCCATTTTTGAATACCTAGCATTGATTTGCTTTACTAAAGTCCTTTTGATGAGAACCACTTGAACATTTGAATTAATGTTTAGAGCTAGTTGACTGAAAAATAGGCTTAAGTGTCTAGACTTTCGTATGACGGATCAACAGACTAGTTATGCCTGTATTTTGGTGAGAACTTTCTAACTATACCTGACTTGAGCATAATGATTGATTTTAGTTTAGAAACGTGGCACTGGGATACTGTTTAGTTCCTGCATCTTTCAAACCTCTTTCCTAACTTCGATTTTTGTTTGGGGGCAAACAAAGGTCTAAGTCTGGGGGAGTTGATAACACCTGATTTTGACCACTTTTATGGATCACTTTTAATATTTTAAGTTGGTGTTTTTACTCAGTTTTTAAGCGATTTCTATGATTTAGAGCCTCAAAAGAGTATTCAGGATATTTTAACAAAAGGGATGCACTTGAGAGCAAAAAACACAACTTTGGATAAGTTCAGACCGTCGGAAGTTTGGAAACAAATGGAGGTCTTACCACCGTCTGATCATCCCCAAACATCTGTGCACTTGCAGATATTTAGGGTTATAAATTTAAAACGTGAAGCTAGAAGTAACTCTTGATTCTCTTAGCATCAGATCACCATTAGAAGACATTGACAACACTTTTGTAACTTAATGGTTATGTGGTTTCGATTAAGGGCTCCTCCTACTCAACTTATTTTGCTTCCTTGATTTTTATTTACATTTTTTGGCAAGGTCTCAGGATATTAGGTTAAACTCTTTTGTAAAACCACAACTATTATGATATTTGAAAAAAAAAAAGAACTAGGACAAAAGTGAAGAGTTTTTTTTAGAAAACAAAATGTTTAATATAGGCCAAATAAGTCCAAAAGCCTTTAACATTTTTACTCATCTCAGTTGCCACTTGATCATGTGACCTCTTGAAATTACCTTAGTATATATTTACAATCATGCTATTCACCTCTGGTTGATAACTTAAACTACTTAGACTCTTTATAATGGTGGTTTTTTCAACTGTTGATAATTTTTGTCAACAGTTGAGAAACCTTTACTGTGGTGTGTTGAATTTTAGTTAGAGATGATATGTCAAAATTAGAGTTGGAACTTTA